CTGACTTACGTATTAGTTTTCATAAAATATTATTCAGTCTCTTCGTCTCATTTCTCGCGTAAAAATTAAAATTAATTCCAGTATATACGTAGTCTCTCTCTCTCTTTAGTGACGGTTATATTTTGAATATTACTATTTATAAAAGAACTAGTTATTTAAATAATTATAATCAGTTATTAACTACTTGTTAAGTTGTTATATTCCGCAATTGCTCACTTCGAAAGCGCTCGGCTCGGTACAAGTTGCGCTGAACCAACTGTGCGCATTTTCGAAAACCTTAGTTCACCTTGCAAGTCAGTTTTAACATTTCATATCAATTTCAATTTTGATCTTTAATTCTGTTTGAAATGCGAAGACGCGAGAGGGATTCGTACGTTCTCGCTTGCCGCGCTATAAGCGTGGTGCGAAATTATATTTTGGCGTTTGCGCCCGGTTTTCCGTAATCTTTTGAAATTGGCACTTGGCAGTTTCTCAAGTGATGATGATTTCCGACTTTCCTCGCTTGACGAAATCTTGTCAGTGACGTTCTCGGCCTTGTTTAAGCGCGGCGAAACGTATCACGCACATTATCTCGAAGCTTTCTTTCCTTTCGGTGTTTGGCGTGTTGATTTCGAAATTAAATCATTTCGAAAGAAATGATGCGATCGTATTTTCGAACAAATTCAAAATCAATATTTTATTAGCAACATTCACGAAGCTCGATCAGATTTGAATTGCGAGCGATGGAAAATGAAGGACGAGAAGAGCCTTTCGATGAGCAAATTCTCGCTTATCCGACGTCTGTTTCTCTCCAAGCGAACCTTATTTTAACAATTTCGATCTTGTTCCAAGTTTGATTATCCGAATATTTAATTTCTGAATTCAATGGACAGAAATTTCTAAAGTTTTCGTAAACTTTTAATTAGGAAATTGATTTGGGATTGAATCAGAAGGACGGCTACAAAGTTCGATCTGATAAATTATGACGGGGGAAAAAACAGTCTAGTTGGATTAATGTGACATGTTTGGTTAAGCGAGTGTTTGTGGGACTAAACAAAACACTTATTATGACATGTCTATCTATTTTATTCGTCAAATTAAAATTTGCATGCAAAAGAATGACTTAGTGATGTCAACTAAATCTCTAAGTAACCAGTAACCAGTAACTAAGTAACCAGTTTGAATTTGACTAAAAAACGCTAAAAGTTGGCCATTACAAACGGCGGAAACGCAATACTGCGTTCCGATATCTCTGGTAATTTAATATTTCTGGAATTGGTATTTTTCTAGTATCATTTTTGTTTTTTGGAATCACTCTTTTCACACTTTTCAACAGTGAATTTTAAAAACAAAAATTCATAGTCGCGGGTCACCAAACCAACACAGACCAAACGAGATGTTATTTATATATTATATATTATTTATTCATTACTTTGTTTTTTATTTATTTGTGATTTTTATTTATTTAACCTTATTTCATGATATATATCCAATTTTATTCTGATGAAATAAAATTATGACTTTAGTCGCTATATCGGGCCCGCTATATCAAATTTGAAGAATTTCAACTTCATATTCGTAAACAATAATTTCAGAAATTAGACACAACATTTGAACGACGATTGCTCAATTTTTGGAAATTCCTTTTTTTCCAGCTTAAGTACTTTTGCGAGATTCACAGATAAAATATCTGATATGCTTACATATCATACAGAAAACATTGTAGTGCATTAAGTAGATTCACAGTCTAGAGATCCTGGCATTGAATTCCAGCAAGTTAAGTGAAATTAAATTAGATATAATATAGATTTAATTCATACTTTACCGAATAGTCAAATTAATACAACCAGGTTTCGGACTAATTCAACTTAGTATTTTGTTCAAGATATTTTTTACAAATTTATTTCTCGTAATTGATAAGAGTTTTGATGTTGAAGAAGAAAGTGTACCGGGTTTTTGATATATTCAATATATTTATACCGCGGTGAAAAGTTTGACGCGAGTTGCGGTATTTTTCGAGAATTTCAATACTTTCGCAGCAAATTGATAATATTCTTTTGCCCTCGACACAAGGAAAATTCTTCGGAGAGAACGCGACGTTGTTCGGGATAATACCCTCGAAATATTTCTTTCTTCATCAACCAATGCAAATGCAACGAATTGACATTTTTTGGACGCTCGGCAGCGAATGTGAAATTCATGTCACTCGTTTTTTCCAATATCTTTTATCTTCGCAGTACTTCCGTCGTTGATGCGAGTCACGTGCATTTATCTTGAGAAATGTCTCCGGCAAAATTGTCGCAGAATGTGACACCGAAAGCTGGTGACAACCAACGCGGCAGCGTATATTTTATTCGTATAAGAGAACAAACACGTAGCCGCCAAGGTCAAACTGACATCGCATCAGCGCGAGGCGCCTTCCTCCATTTTCACGGAGCATACAGGCGCGATGCATTTATAGCTCAACAGTTTGATCATTTTGCACTAGCTGACTCCTTTTTTTATTTTTCTAACGCGCCATTGGCAATAATTGTGGTTCTTGAATACTCGAGAGTAATTTGTGAAACGGTAAGATCGCCGAGGAATGTCCAAAGATATTCCAATACCCGGGTAATCGTTGAGTGCTTTAATATCCGCATGTCGTCGTCGCCGTTAGCAGCGATTAAATTTTGGAAACGCAAGTT